GGGGGGGGGGGGGGGGGGGTGGAGGGGGCGGGAGGGGCGGGGGGGGCGGGGGGGTGGGGGGGGTGGAGGAAGGTGGCTTACCTCGCCGGCATCCATTATGCCCATCATGGGGAATAGGATGAGGGGGAAGAGGGCGGTGACAGCCAGGGGCAGGGCCTCGACACACCAGAAGAGCGCCATGAGGATGATGGTGTAGGCACAGTAGGCTTGCTGTGGGTGGGAGGAGAGGGGCAGAGTTTTTGAAGGGGGCAGGCCTGGATCCCAAAGTTGTCACCTCCTGCCCCCGGAGAAGACAGGCCGTTTGTAAGGGTGTAGAGAGAGCCCGTGAAACCCACAGTCACTGATTTTTGAGCCCAAAGTCCCATTTCAAAATGGAAATAGAAACCAAAGCAAGGCACTCATCTCTTTGACCTTGGGGAGGGGCTGGAGAGGCCCCCACCCAGCCCAGAGGACTGTGGAGGGCCCAGGGGAGGACCCCTAGATGAGATGGGGGCTGCCAGACTGGGGCCTCGACAGTGTGCACTCTGCCTGGTACTCAGGCTTTATCGGAGCCTGGGAGAACGTATTTGTTTGTATGATGATTTAATTAGCGTTTGTCCCCTCTGCTAGGAAGTAAGCTCCCTGAGGACAGAGTCAGTTTTGTGGCATCTGGATCCTTGGAGCTCAAGACCCAGCGGGCTTCAGAGCAAATCTCTTCTTGTTTCTGTTTGTTTGGTTGGTTAATCCTCACCCGAGGATATTTTTAGGGAGAGTGGAAGAGAGAGGGAAAGACAGAGAGAAACATCAATGTGAGAGAAACACATCGACTGGTTGCCTCCTGCACGAGCCCTGACCTGGGCCCCGGGCCAGGGAGGAGCCTGCAATTGAGGTACGTGCACTTGACCAGAATCGAACCCAGGACCCTTTGGTCTGCAGGGTGATGCTCTATCCACTGAGCCAAACTGGCTAGGGCGAGCAAATCTATTCTGAATAAACGAATCATTGGAGAGTTTGGGGAATGGCTGAGTGTCTCCTTCCTAGCAATCCTGGCATGATCACTACTGCACTGCACAACTCTAGGAGGCGCCATTCACGTTTTATAGAACATGTGAGAGGTCCTCCTACCCCTGCTTTGTGCAGGGAATTGTGAGGTAAACCCTGAGTCATAGGAGTGACTCTTTGGGTACCAGAGGCTCTCCTCTCTGTGACAAGGCCTCCAAGTCTAGAGAAGCCTGGCCTCAGGCCTGGAGCAGGAATGGAAGTCAGTCAACCCCTAATGTCAGAGCCGTGCCCCCCCCCCCCCCCACAAAAAAACAAACTTATTGACAGAGCCTCTTTGCAGGGCTGGCAGGGAAGGCGGGGGAATCATTAGCCAGAAGGAACCTGCGAAAGCGGGGTGCAGAGAACGGTGCCCACATCCCAGCCTCCTCAGGGGCACCTGCCAATTCTTTGTTTGCCAAAGGGAAGGGAGTGTATGCTGGGGCTATGGGGCCTCTCCTCTCTTTCCTGTCTCTATTGCCCTGCCCTTCATGCTTTCTCCACCTGCTACAGGCTGTGCTCCACCCCTTTGTACCTCAGGCCCTAGCACCCTGAAGCTTGGGTTTGGGGTGAACCCAGGGGGCGGGGGGGGCGGGGGAAGAAGCTGCTATGTATGGAGCACTTTTTAGGAGCTGGTTGTTTTATGTTGTTGCATAAACTCAAACAGCCGTTGGGGTGGGTGTGGTGGACCCCGTTAGAGATGAGCTTGAGAAGGTAAGTGGCTTGCTCAGGGCCGCAGAACTAGGGAGTGGCAGAGGCCGCCCGGGACCCAGGCCAGGTGTCTGGACTGTGTAGCTCCAAGAGTTCTCCCATCGTCTACGTAATTGGTGCTCCCGGAGTGGTACCGCACCCGGCCCCGCTGGAGAGCCACGTCTGTCTGGTGCCAGGCTCAGCTTCTTTCCAATAAACCGCCACCACCTCTCCTTACCCCAGACAAGGACTCCTGGGCTCCAGGGGTGGGGCCACCTTGACCCTGACCAGAGACCCACTCCTCCCCCAGCGGGAGGCTGATTCTGCTGAAGCTGCAGTTTTCTCGACCATTTTTTCATCTGCAAAGATTGTCCTGGCCAGTTACTCATCCTCCCCTGGGGCTAAGGGCAGGCCAGCCCCTCTGGTCCCTGGCGACCCCAAGGTGGGGGTCTGGGGCGGACCATCACTGCCGAATCAGAAGAAAGCTCTGCTAATCACGACAGCAGAAGAACGCTGAGGACTACTTTGTGCCAAGCACCGTGCTGTGCTTCAGATGTGTTGTTAATCCTTTGATTTTTTTAGAGGGAGAGAAAGAAACTAATATTTTGGAGAGGGAGAGACAGAGAGAGAGAGAAACTAATATTATGGAGAGGGAGAGACAGAAGCATCGATGTGAGAGAGACACATCAATTGGCTGCCTCCCGCACACGTCTGACCAGGGTTGGGGATAGGCCTGCAACCGAGGTACATGCCCTTGACCAGAATTAAACCCACCCGGGACCCTTCAGTCCACAAGCCGAAGCTCTATCCACTGAGCCAAACCAGCTAGGGCGCTTCTGATGTTTTTTAATCGCATTTAGTTGCTCTGTGAGGTAATGACTATTGTTCCCATTTCACAGATAACAAACAAATGCACAAATACATTAAGTCAATGTCTCGAAGTCACACAAGTAAGTGGAGAAGCCAGGCCATCTGGCTCTTGAGCCCCAGCTTTTACCTTCTACCCTTGATTCCTTGCATTTGAGGGGTGTCCCCAGCTTCAGGCTTGCTGTGGCCACTGGGGTGCATCGGGCCCTATGTACGGTGGGGCCTGCCATTTCCTGTTGCCTGGCTCTGGGCAAGTTCCCTCACTTCTGAGAACCCATTTCTGTGCTCTAAAAGGAGCTGTTAATAGTCAAACCAGCCCCTGTGTGCTCCTGTGCGTTCAATCTACGGCTCCCTTATCCCATTACAACGTCTCTGTGTCCCTCTCCATGTCTGTGTATCTGTCTCTGGACCAAAACCCAAAACTGATTTCACAGTTCCATCCAGGAGCCTTCCTTGGCCAGGGGGCTGTGGCTCCGGGCCCCCCTCCCACCTTCCTGGGGAGTCTGTCCAGCTGTTGTCTCAGGACTTGCTGACCTGCCCCTCCTGGTTCATGGGGTTCGTCACTGGGGCGTGGAATTCCAAAAATCCGTCAAGTCCGATTGGAAAGCGATTTCACTTTTCTGCTAACATCTAACTGAGGTTCTGAACGTGGGCAACAAGACCATACAACTGTGAACGGCGCGATCAGTGATTTTGTCCCAGATGTTTGACTGTGGCTGTTAGCTACAGATACCCACACACATCGGTTGCCACAGTTATCTCAAAGTAGCGTTGACATCCATCACTACTTTGAAATTATGGTAGTTATGACACCAACACTAGATCTTACTCCATGCATTCATGAAGGAGCACCTAAATTTCTAAATTGCAATGAATTATTTTCATATTGTGATAACTGGATTTCAAAAGCATTGCTTTCCTTTGTAACCCTGCGCATTTTATTTTGTGCATTTCAGAGCAATCTTCTGAGAAGGGCCCACAGTTGTCACCAGACAACCAAAGGCAGTCATGGCTCAGAAATGGGTTAGAATCCCCGAGGAGAGAGAAGGCAAATAATCACCTCGTACTAACCCCTGTGGCCTCCCTGAATCACCTTGGGAGTTCTCTAAACTTCCAGGCCCACCCCTATGTCAGAGGGCGCAGGAGTCTCTGCAAGTCCCAGCAATGCAGAGGTGGGGCGGAGCGAGCTGGAGTGGAGGTTACAGTGTCCTGCAGAGCCCGGGGGGTGCTTTACACACATTTTCTCTAATTTCATTCTTTTTTTAAAAAAATATTTTTACTGATTTCAGAGAGGAAGGGAGAGGGAGAGAGAGAGATAGAAACATCAATGATGAGAGAGAATCATTGATTGGCTGCCTCCTGCACACCCTCTACTGGGGATCGAGCCCTCAACCTGGGCATGTGCCCTTGACCAGAATAGAACCTGGGACCCTTCAGTCCAGAGGCCGACGCTCTATCCACTGAGCCAAACCAGCTAGGGCTCATGTCACGCTTACATCTCCATGAGGCAGTAGTTCTCGTTACTCATTGAGAGGTGAGGAAACTGAGACACAGGGAGTCCAGCACTGCCTTGTTGATGTTTACTGGTTGAAGCTTGGAGCACTTGGGTTTGAGGTCAGGGAGCTGTTTGTGTGCTGAGTCAGGTGCCAGCCCCTTGGGTACCCCCAGAGGAGAGCGCCCTGGGGATCCTTTTCCCTGGGTCCCACGTGTGTCCTATGTCAAGGTCACTATCCACACCTTTAGAAGTGAGAACGTGGGGATCCAACCTGTTCATCAGACACTCATTCAATAAACATCATCCCCCTCCAGGCCTCCAATCCGGCTGGATCGATGCCTCGGATGCTCCCCTTTACTCCTCTCCAGCTCTGGGCCACCAGCCTGGTCCAAGCCTCAGCATCTCTCACCAGGATCCCAGCAGTAGCCTCCTGTTCACCCCCTAGTTTCCCCTCTGGCCCTTGACATCTCCTCCTGCTGTGGTCAGAGTGATCTTGAGACACAAATCTGTTTAATCCACTGTCAACCTCCCACCCAACATGCACACACTCACCTCGGAGCAGCTCACATCCCTTCAGGGTTTCCTGCTGCCCTGAGGAGAAGTTCAGGGCTAGTCTGTGCCTCTCCTCCTTGTTCTTCCTGCTGCAGCCGCACTGGCCCTCGCCCAGCTCCTCAAAGGCTTCACTCTCCCTGTAGCCACAGGGCCTGGGCACATACTTCCCGCTCTTCCCGCCCACTTTGCCCAGCTGATGTCTACTCGGTGTTGAAATCTCAAATATTTCTTTTGAGGGAAGCCTCTATGGCTTCCAGGCTGGGGTATAGTCACCATATTTTTACACCCTAAGCCCCTGTACGTCCTCTGCATAGCACTCATCACCGTCTGTAATGAAACATTTAGTTTCGTGAATTTCTTGATTACTATCAATCTTTGTCCTCAGATCATACTCTCCAGGGAGCAGGGTCCACGTCTGCTTCTGCTCCCCCAGGAGGGTGTCTGGCATCCAGCTGGAGTTGACACTCCGAATGAATGAGTGTTGGACACTAGATGTACAGACATGAGTCAGGCCCAGCCCTGGCCCTCGGGGAGTCTGAGTGTGAGCTGGCCCATAGGGCTGCCCTGCAAAGCCAACAGTGGACAGAAG